CACCCTTAATTTTCCCACTCTTTCCTTGGATCACCCTGGATCATAAATTTTGTTATCTGTAGCTCTTCCAATGGTCATCAATATCTGCCTGAGTTTATAATGTCTAGGAAGAGGTATCTTTTATCTTAGAAATTCGAGTTGGCAGAAGGGATGATTTTTCTTCTCCAGCAGCACTTAGGTTTTATAATTCAGAGATTTATATAAAAGAAAGTTGGTCAGTTATTATGGGTGATGTATAATAACTGTTTTTGGTGCAGGACTAAAACTGTTCGCTCTTCAATCTAAAGCAGAACTCTATGCAAGTTCTTCCCTCCCCAACAATCGCCTCCCACCCAAACCATTCCCTGGTCACCAGGAAAGCAGACTGTAGGAAGCTCAGCCTTTATTCAGTGATAGAGGGGCTGGTCTTTCCCCATGTCCAATCTCCAAGAGAATGGGTCAATCTATGTGGAGGCTGGGGCAGGGCATGGAGAATGGGAGACAAGTGGGCATCCTATAGGCCCTGTGGCTGACAGCCCTAAGCATGTGGACCAAAGAAGGCTTAAGGAGCAGTCTGCATCTGCACACCAGGGCTGCCTTCTCCATTCCCCACACCCACCTAGAGAGCCCTCCACTCCATTCAGGAAGCAATGGCTTCCACATTATGGGTGTTCTTCCCTCTTGCTTTTCACACCTCCTTAGAGCAACCAGCAGACACAGGGAAACGCTACACCCTGACACTGCCCCCTGCCCCCATACACACACACATTCTCCCTGGAGACACAGCCTCATGCCTTTGGACTCCCCATATAAGCACTGCTGACCTTCTGACCCCTGGAAATCCTATTCTCCCTACTAAAGAAAAATTTTACGTGAATTAATTTTTCCACCTCTCAACCAGCTACGTAGGAATCCCATATACATGGCTTTAAAGCTTGGTTCCAGATGCAATCTCAAATTTTGAACCAATTGTTTAAAACCACATTTTTTTTTAACAAAAACTATTAGCCCCACAATAAGGAACTAGGATATTGTTATCACTTCTCTTGGGACTTATTAAAACAAAAGAAATTGAAAAATGGAGCAACTTCTACGTACATTCTACATTTACGGATGAACACATTTTAAGGAATTCACTGGGAAAAAGGAAACATTCTAAAGCATTCTCTTTAGTCTTCTTTTGAATGACAATTTTTATCTGGGGTGGGCTCTGTATCTATCAAACAGTAGTAACTATGGCCATATTTGTGGCCTAAAGGCAGCTATCCAAACCCTGCAAACAGAATAGCAATACAAGGATTCTTGTTCTCACTGAAACTACAAAAATGATAGATCTCTTTGAAAGCAAGTGCCAAATACTTTCAATCATGCTAGACAAAGGCCATGCAGGATACATGAAAATCATTTAGGATACATGGAAATCAAACCTCTCTCCTTAGCCCTTTGAAAGTCGTTATGACCAGAGTAGATGTTATTTTAAGCAAATCCATTTAAATCACGATTTAAATCACCAAATAGGATAACCCAATTTAATCAGTCTTATTTTTTAAAAAGTACATTTTTGTCCTTCTGACAAAACCTGATTACATATTCTTTAAAATTCAGTTGAGTATGGGTTTTACTTTTAGAAGATACACTGTATATATTTAAATCAGTGATTTATGTAAATCATACTCAGAAGTGTATCCCTTAATAATTCAAGAAGATTCTGTGAAAAAAAAAAAAAAAAACCAAAACAAAGCAGTACGGCTGCTAAAGTCTCCCTTGGGCTCTTACCGCTCCTCCTTCTTTTATCCTTAGACTTTCTTTGCTTGCACGGATTACTTCATTCTTAAGAATAATCTATTCATTTGTCTGCTTGAAACTTTGTACTTTTGAAGAGGAAGCCAAGGAGTGATTGTCTTATCTCCATGTAATGCTATTAACTAGCACGGTTTCCACAGATAAAACCTATAGATGGGGAAGAAAACCATGATTTCCGGAGTATACAGAAAGATTTTTTACTTTGCCATCTACCAAAGTGGCTTTCATGGACTCTCATACCCCCTAATTTGGTCATGTGCCAGTCACTCATGCCTGTAGTCAACATTTTAAGAAGGCATTTTAGAAGTCAGGCACTAGGCTTAGCACATGTAAGGATTCAGATCTGACAAAGCTTACAGTTCAAGAGGGAGCAGATACTAGATGGTTATTGAACAAATAACTATACAACAATGAAAGCTTTGAAGAAGGGCATGGTGGCAGGGCAACCCCATCCAGATTGCGGGGGAGTGTCAAAGAAGACCTCTCTAGAAAGTAACACTGCCTTTTTATTACTCGTAATACTTTTTAGAAAGAGGTCACACAAATATATTGTCCCAAATATTGTATCAATTTCAAGGTAAGGTAGGGTATGAGAAAGAGAAGGCTCTAGACCCAGACAGATAGAATTAGAATCCTTGCTATTACTGTAGTGCCTCAAGCAAGGGACATGGTTCCCTCCCAAAATTGTTGTAATGGTCAAGTGTGACACACAGAAAGCACTCAGTATAAGCTCAATAAACTATAGATAATAATTAATAATTACAGGATTTAGTTGGTTTATCTTTGAGCTTTCACATGTCGAAATAAGGCTAATTTTCCATTCATAGTTCTAGCTTTACAAAAATGTTCGACTAAAAGAGAAAACTCAAAAATCCATTTAGAAAAAAACATACCATGACTTCTGTGATTTTTCTTCACTTGGGTTGGCCAGCAGGTATCATTTTATTATACAATGGAAGCACACCCTATTCTAGATTCTTCTTGGCAGATATATAAATACAGGCGAAAAGAACAATTTATACATCTGTGCTCAACAGCCTTCTATCAGCATTAGAAAAAATTTTGGAATTGGAGCTTTTGAATTAGAACTTTTAAAATAGTAAACTCCCCTAGGGTGGTTAAGTGTTTTCCAGGTCATTAACTATGTGACCGAGAGGGTGCAGCAGGCAGAGTCCTCTGCAGGCAGCTCAAATTCCCACAGCCCAAGAAGCATTTCCCACTACCCTTTTAGCTTCTCTTACTTTGAATTTCCCTCAGTACTTACAAATACCCAACCCACATGACAGGGTCAGTCACAGTATTCATTCCCTCATTAGATACTCATTGCAGCCAGTGTTGTACTTGAGGGTACGTACAACAGACAAGGCTGTGCCTGAGAGGACCTCCCAGCTTCTGGTGGGCCTTATTAAGCATCCTTCAGACTCGTGGCCAACAGCCCTTTGTCCTTTTTGGTACAAAGCCCGAGTCAGAAAATTAAGAAATATGTGCGGTTTATGTTTTTAAGTTAAAAAATGAAGAATTTTACTTGATCCTGGAAAATGGACCATGTTACTGATGAGAAAAATGAGGCTTGCACAGGAGAAAAGATTTGCCTAAGGTCTTAGAGCAAGTGAACAGCAGAGCTGAAGCAAGACTCTAATTCATTCCACTCAGGGCTTCACACCCCATTTACTGAGCCCTCTTGTCTGCCTGGCATTGGGTTGTACTGAGAACACAATTAACAGACCCGCCTCCTCCATAAACTGGACCTCCCCCTTTCATGGTTGTAGGATTCACCCCTCACAAGGCAGGGCAAGCCCTGCAACCTGGAACAGCTCCAGGCATTTCCTAACCCGTCTGGCTAGTCCGGCTATTCTGCGCTACACCATCCTGAGGTGGCTCCTGGCACCCAAAGGCTCTTCTAGCCTGCTCTGGGGCCAGCCTGGCCCAGGAGGGCCACGGTGCTGACCCCCCATAGGGAGTACCTTTGCCAGCCCCTGGCTTCCACAGCCAAAACCTAAGCACACCGGGATTTTGAAAAGGCTCCCCTCCAATCTAGCCCTGACTACAGCCTGAGTCACCTTGGTTTGCATGAGCTGAAAAGGCCACGACTGAAAGTAGATCACAGGCCATTCTGCAGAAGCTAGGGGGCTGCATGGGAAAAAGGTCAGGGGTTGCTCATAATTGTTCTAGAAGGAGGTTTCAGATAGTATACCTCCTCAACTTAAAGGTACACCAACTGCCTAAGAATGGCTCTAGGTTCAGGGAGAAGAACCTGTCTTACAAATTCAAAATGGGAAATAACCCCAAGTCATTCTTAGATGATGAAGTGGAGCCCCTGAGTGGCCAGGGAACGGAGGATTGTAACTCTGAACTGCTGAAAAATTACCCCCAAGGCAATGTGACTGGGCAGTGGAGACTGAGGCAGAAGAGGATCCCACGGTGGCTAGTGAGACTTAAGTCCAACCTCTCATGGGAACCCAAGACACCTGGGAGATGAGCGAAGTACAAGCAGAGGAGACTCAGCAAACTTTACAGAGGCAATGAATATGTGGTTCCTTCACACATCCCCTCCGTCAGGGAGCTTTTCTGGACAGTCCAGCCTCAGTCTGAGCTTCCAGAGCCCCTTCTGCACACTTCTATCACACTGTATAATCATTGCCTGTGTACTTGTCGGTCACATTCATTTTTGTCTCAGATGGAATTCATTTGATTCCAGCATGGTGCTTAACATGCAGTGCGCCTCAAAAAAAATGTTCAGTGAATGCAAGAATGACCTGTGACACAGTGACTACAATTCGAAGGTATAACTAGGGCAGAGGTAAGCAGTAATCATCTCAGAGTAGAGAAAAAACAAAAATGGATGGACTTCCTTGACCAGTCTGAAGACAGAGTGCTACCCACCCCTCAGCAGACCCTGAAGGCTCATCAGCCACAGGACAGCTGTCCCATTCTATTTCTGGGGTAAGGAGACACATCGTGTAGCTAAAAAATATGTTCCCATAATTATCAAAACCGAGTGTTACAACTAAGAGAAGGGGAAAATGGCAGATTCACCTAAGTGAGGGAAGACTTTCTGTTCATGTACCAGCTCCCTCTCCAACTCAACCTCTCTCTTAGAAACCTACAGACTCAGAGTCACAATCCCAAGTTCAAAGTGGACCAAGTCCTGGGTCCCAATGGGACACCCTTTCTAATTCACAAGGCATGTGCTCTCAGTGCAAAACTTGTCAACTTACTTTTTCCACGTCTAGATCAGCATCCTGCTTCTTCAAAAAACTGTAGAAGAAAAAAAAATAGACATCAAAAAAGAACCGAACACTCTTTGCCTATAAACCTCCCACAAAGTACTACCATAGAATTTCCATTTGCTGCAGAAAATCAACTTGCCCACAACTTTTTTCTCGTTCACACAATCGTTGCTAAGTCACAGTTGCCACAAACACCTGCCTGCAACTGCAAAGACCTGGCTGACATGAGATCTTGAGTTTCTGAAGTCAGGAAAGATAAAGATGGAGGTGTTACACACACACACACACACACACACACACACCTTCTGAGTGCCTACAAGTCATCCATAGCTGGGACACATTAAAAAAAATGAGTCTTCCAAGGTCTTATTCAACTCACCTCTTGGCTTAGATCTTCCCTTAGCTCCCAACCCATATGTGCCCCACTTCCTGTCTAACTGTGGGTGGGCTTCGCTGTCAAAACAGCCTTCTTGGGATGGCCCCTCTTTCCCATCAGCTGGAGTTCCCCTCTCCGGGAAGTGTGCCAACCCACCAGCCTGCACCAACTTGTCCACGGAACTCGAGCCCCAGGATTACCTTAGAACCTTGTGCCAACCCCCTGGCGGAGCTGAGTGCTGATTCTGTGGCACCCCTGCCCATTTCACACTAATCTTTAAAGTGCCAGGAGCAGGATGGCGGATTTCCAGTTTGCTCATGCACTCTGCCTACAACCTGCCAATATTATGGTACCTCATTTATTATTTGCAATTTTAGCTATTTGAACAAAGCTTCAGTTTTAATAAGATGTCTAAAGAGAATAAAAATGGCTGAATGGAATTATGTTGACAACGTTAGGGAAGAAAGTAAAAGGTCTGAGGAATGTGAATAAAAAAGCAGAAACCATTTTTCCTATCTTAGCAGAGACTCACACTTTTTTTCATTATGATTCTTAGCATCCTGGCCCATGGTTTAAAATACTGCCATCATAAATCACTATCCCCATCAAAACCACCCCCCCACACACACAAAAGAATTTTTGCACTGTTTGAGAGGGTGCATAATTAACAGTAACATCTTTGTTTTGTTTAATCAAAGATGACTCAGAATGAAGGAAAGGAAAAAATGACCATGGGGAAGAGAATCAGAAACTCATATACTGTCTTCTGCAGATGGGTATTCAAATCATGAACTGACTGCAGACATGCCAGAGAACCAGCATGAGGCTGGAGGGAGAGAATGTGCTAATGAGCATGCCACTATAGCCGGTACCTTAGCAACCCACATCACCCCATCTCTTTCTTGCTTCTGACATGCCGTCCTGTCCTGACAGAGGAGATGCACCAGGCTATATAGGCCTTTTCTTCTGGATAACCCACTGCGGATGCAGACAATGCCGAGCTGGAAAAAATGGGAATCCCCATTGTCGAAAATTTTTAACTAGCCTCCCTATAACCAGCAAAGAGAAATTTAGTACCATGAAAACTTTTCACCAGGGAGGGGCACCTGCGTGGCACAGTTGGTTAAGCGACCGACTCTTGGTTTTGGCTCAGGTTATGATCTCAGGGTCATGAGTTCGAGCCCTGCATCAGGCTCCATACTCAGCGCAGAGTCTGCTTAAGTTTCTCTCTCTTCCTCTCCCTCTGCCCCTCCCCGCCTCTAAAATAACTAAATAAAAAAACAAAACAAAACAGTTTTCACCAAAGGGAACATATATACAGTGGAAGCCTGACTTCCACTTGAACACTTTCAAAGAGGTTTAGGAAGGCAGTCATTCTGATTTACAGAATGGAATTTTCTATTTGCAAGGTGAAAGATCCCTTCATCTGCCACAGAAAGCGCACTTGGAGAATCACTACCCTTTTCCAAAGTAGTAAGGAAACTCAACCTCTCTCATACAGATAGCACAAGTGCAACTGCATGGGATGCCCAGTTCAACAACAGGCTCTTGAAGAATGAGCCTTAGCTCCACAGCACTTTAGCAACTGGTAGCAAAAGGAAAACTGAAAAGCTCTTTGGAGCTGCTGGCTCACTATTGCAAAAGGAATATTACCCATCCATACATATATGCAGCTTCATCCAATTTCTTTTTCAGGCTTACAAAACAGATGGAGTTAATTAACAAAGACAATACATATATGCATCATCCTGCAGCCATAAACCAGAAGGATGCCACAGCTTTAGCTTCAAAGACTCCTAGCAAGCACAGCCCGAGATATTTTAAGGCATCGGCTCCATTGTTTCAAAGAGGATATGGTTTGGTGAAATAAAATTGCCAAGAAGTAAAATTCATAGGACAGCCCTGTCTAGTATGAAGAGTGGCATTTGTTTTTTAAAACCAGGTATATCTGTCTTAACTAAAGGGTGTGTTTCTGAAAAGTTGAGAATAAATAAATGTTGTCATCAAATGTTTAAGTGAAACAGAAGTACCTTTTATTTGGGACGCCTGGGTGGCACAGTTGGTTGAACGTCCAACTCTTGGTTTTGGCTCGGGCTGCGATCTCAGGGTCATGAGACTTCTTTCAGCCCTTTCCCCCTGCTCCCCGCCCCTGTACCTCCTCCTCGTGTGCAAGTGCGTGCGCATGCTCTCTCTCTCTCTCTCTCAAATAGGTAAATCTTAAAAAAAAAAAGTACCTTTTATTTGTCTTACATTTAAAAAATCATTCTTTAAAAACTGACCAACTATCCCATTTAATTTTTCTTCTAAATCTAAATTTTTGGAATCTTCAAGTTTTAAGTTTCCAAGGCTTAAGGCACGATAGACCGCTCCTTCCCCATGTGTGTGTTTTTGGAACAGACAGATATGCATATGTAGATACTTTCAATAGTTGACTCTGTATTCAACTGTGGGCTTGTGGGCATTAGGGCATTTTCCATGCTTTTATTCTTCCTGCTGAAGTAGTGCTAATGTTTTGTTTGAGAAACATGACTGAAGTGACCCAGATTCCCCGGTGGAAAAGGCTGATCCATGAATGTTGCAAATGTGTGACTGCCTGCAGGACTGGAGGCCAGAGGATAAGGCCCTGGCCAAAAATGAGCTACTCCCAACTATTTAGATCGGATCAAATCCTCTATCTTTGGGAGAATACACAGAGGTCCTTTGTTTTTAGAGAAAACTCTAAAAATAAAACTGAGAAGCCTTCACCTCTGAGTTCTCTCTTGATGCAGCCATCCCCGTAGGCCCAGTGCTCTCCTATTTCCAACCACCTAGGGACAGCTCCCACGGCACCCACCACCGGGCAGGGGGATGAACAGACACAGTCAGCGGGGCATCAGCCCCATGTTCAGAGAGTGGCAAGAGGCTTGGCAAGACCACAGGGCGGAGAGGGAGTTAAGAGGACGGCTGTAGGCTGCTGGGAGAAAGGTGGGAAACTGAGGCAGAGGCCAGCTAAGGAGTCAGTCAGTTAGAGGCGCACTCCTGTGGTTACCAGTGTCTTTTCTACTCGCCTCTATCCTAGGAAGGGGCAGAAAAGCAGAGAGCCCCCGGCAGATTCCTGGCACCGGACGAAGCATTGTCACTCCAATCTCACCACCCTGCTGGGTCAGGAGAGTTTTCTCCTGACTCGCCGTCGCTGTCGGGGCCCGGGACAAAAACCACCTTTTCACTCCTGTTTTCCTTTGGTCCCACTTCTATGCAGAACCAGATTTCCCCTCCTCGGTGTTCTCACAGCACTTTCCGCAGGACCTGTTTCATGGTCTCCCCTGCTCAGACACCAGCTCGTCTGGGGCTGGGGCCATGCCGAGCACAACAGGGGCCTGTGTCAGCTCTGCCGATGGAGGGGTAAAGGGGGACGAGGGGCGGTGACAGAGTGACTAATGAAGAACTGACCGACAGGGATGAAGGAAACAAAGCTGCGCTGACTCAAGCTGCAAGTACGGTGGGGGGGGTGTGTGTGTGCTGGGGAGGGGTGGAGGAGACAAATCCAGGGTGTGCCCACATACCACACATAGCTTATAGATCACCAGAAGATGACCTTTCCTTCCATTTAGTCCTGTGTCTTTAGCTATAAATAAGTGACAAAGATTCAATCTGGAGATTCTGCTGTTATTTTTAAATATTAGCCGGTGTTTCCTTTTTACTTAAAAATGTGAGAAACTGAGGTTCAATACATGAGAGTCATAATCACAACTCCCATGTAAAGAAAGAGATGTAAGGGATATGACAAATCCAAGATTTAAATCCTGGTTCTCGTTTTTGTTTGATTATTTAAGGAAAGGAAGACTGAGGGAGAAATGAAATATACTTTTCTCTTGCCACAGAATCTTCTCTATTTCCAATTCAACCCTTTTTACTTCTTGAAAAAGATTTAAAATATTCATCAACCTGCCAAAAAACATCTGCATGTTACTAGACATGTCTATTCACATCTGAATGGCTGCTTTCTGCTCCAACGATCATAGCTCTATTCAATCAAAACTAAAGTGAGAACCTCAGAACTGTACATGGTGTGATGTCAGGGGCAACGAGGATAAAATGGCCATTGGACAGCAACTTCCATATCAAGTGTGTCAACAGGGGCACTGTTCCTTCAGTTATTAACTTAGGATCCAAGGCACAAAAAAGACCAGGCAGGGCCAGACTCTGCCACAATTCCAAAGAAAGCTGAGACACATAGAGAGCGTACACAGAAGCTCCTCAATGTTCCCTGGTGAAGGGGCGGCCCCTGGCTCCCTGCCTGAAGCCTGGGAACAGGCCCACTCTCTCAGTGGGCTTCCTGAGGCCTCCACAGCTGCACAAAGACACGCGGCACAGTGTTTGGGACCATCCACGCTCAAGGTCACCACAGTCTCCCGTGTGCCTAACAACTGGGTCAGGCCCCAGAGACAGGAGCCAGCTCAGACAAGGCCCTTTGTTGTGGGGTATTCCTCATTGCCTGGTTTCCCCAGGAAAAAGTTTATTTTCCTTTAGCCATTCACCCTGGCCCCAGACCAGCTCATTCTCCTGTGTCCTCCTCCACACACGAACCTTCCAACAAGGTTCAAGATGGCAGCAATCACAACCTCTTCTCCCATCTTACCCATTCCCCCCAACCAGCCCCCTGCCAAAGATGC